GCGAAAAACTTCACTTCCAGCCCTCATCCAAACTGCTAATGGTTATTAACCAGATCCTTTGGTTCATTTTCAATGAATGAATGAAAAAGTCAATGAAATAGAACATGCCCTTTATTAGACTGGTAGTATTAACTTTCAGTTTATCTTCAGAAAATGCAAGATTGGAAGAAGTGATAAGTTTTTGTACAATAAATAAAATTCGTCTAAATGCTTTGAAAATAGTGTTGGTCACATTTTCTTTATTCTTCCTTTACTGTTCAAATTTGTTAAAACAAATTTTAATGCTCTACTGTTCTTAGCTGACACTGAATTAAATGTATCTTCCTATTTGTGACTGAATTAATTCAATTTGTCTAAATGTATAAAAAAAGAACAATTTGAAGCATTGTAATGCTTCAAATAGTAAAACATTAAAGGAGAATGTCTGGTAATCAATTTATAATCTTGAGCTTAAGCAGTTAATTCAGTAAGACATTATTGCAATGCATCCCTCACTTAAAATGCAACACCTAAAGGCTAAACAAATGTATGTATTTATTGAAAAATAAACATACATATTTAAAATGTATATTTCTGCAAGGAAGAGTCCCAAGAATTCCTTCATATAAACGTAAAAGCCTGACTGATAGTAAATGCCGCTCAATAGATGTTGCCCACAAGGCTCTTCCAAGCCCTTATTAGGTTTGAAGTAGAACCACATTTTCACTCTTTTTTTTCTAATAAAAGAGATCATGATTTTATTTCACCTTTGTATGGTATTAGATTTTGGTTTGATGATCCCAAACACTGAAGATGAAAAGAAGAAAATGAGGAAGAAATATGTTGGGAGGCCAACTCTTTAAAGGCACTGTATTTCATGATGGAAGATAAGGTAAAGAAGATGTAGCCACAGCAGGAAAACAGGGTTACACACTGGAATGGTGAAAATTGTTTCTTTCATGCTTAAATTCTGCAACAGTTCAATTATCCAGCTAAAAATCTGAATTGCACAGACACATGCACACACAGACAAACACGCCTTGTCAGAGGGGGAGACAAAGTGAGAGAGAGACCCAGACGTAGACAGAGAGAGAGAGAAACAGTGATGTGGAGCAAAAGTGGCAGTGAGTTTCAGAGAAATGGCAGAAACCAGGGAGAGCAGCCTCCCTACTCGTGACAGCAGCTGAAATCCAATCCACTTGAGGTGAAGGGAAACGGCACTTCCATGAAGGAAATACGCAAAAAAAAAAAAAAAAAAAAGCATATGGGAGAGCTGGAAAAAAGGTTCAAGAAGCAATGCAGGGGGAAAAAAGAGAGAAAAATGACAGAGGAAAAAATAGATAAATCTGGTGTGTGGGAGAGTCACAGCAAGAAAGAAAAAGGCAAAACACACAGACTGTTTAGACATTTGTGCCTGTTAGGAATAGTTGGCTGTTTGGATAGTTGTGGTCAGAGTGGGTGGATAATTCAATCAACAAACTGCTTGTGATGAGCCCATGTTGTGCCTGAGTTGCCAAATCCTATCCTTGCCAAACATAGTATTGCGTTTTGCACAGAGATGTTGACAGCATCAATACGAAAAATATCTATTTGCTGAACTTTGTCTTGCTTTGTGATCTCTGCATGATTTCTTGAGTCTTCACAATAAAAAACAAACAAACAAACAAACAAAAAAAACCTTTCTGATTTCAAACTATTCATTCTTATTTTTTTCACTGTGTGTTCTCACAGACTTAGATGTTCCAGTTTTGACTGTGCACCAGACGGTTGGCGATATACGTACAGGATTCTACCAAGAGAAGACAGTATTCCTTCGCTGCACTGTCAACTCCAACCCGCCAGCCAGATTCATTTGGAAACGTGGCCCCATGGTCCTCGAACAGAGCAAAGACAGTGGGGTCGATATCTATGAACCTCTTTACACTCAGGTAATCTTTAACCATGTTTTCTGAATCCTGAAATCGTGTCTATGTTGCTTGGATAAAAGTGAGTCGTATGTTGGATTGTGCAATTTTATGTGGAAGAATAAAACAAAGAGGATTGAATAAGGTAGTTAGTTTTTGAAATGTGCAATATTTATGCACATTTTAATCAAAATTGAAATGTGCATATACAATTCGGCCCTTTAGTTTGACCCACCAATATAAGTACGGTCTATGCAAATCCCTTCAGACAGGGGTGGAACTAGCCTAATAGCCTACATAACCCTGTCATTTACATACCCACTTACAGATTTGTTGTTGTTTTTTTTTGAGTTGGCATCTCTAAATTTTATTTATCTAAAGATAAAAGACAGTGAATATGCGATCACCAGAATTTTAAAGCATTCTGGTTATGTTTTTTTGTTTTTTTTTGACACCTCATCAGTTTAATTATTCCTACCCGATATTACTTATCTCTTCTATTGCAAATGCAGTAACCAACTTTATGGCTGTCTCCATCAACGACTGCCTTTAGTCTTCTTTAAAAAGTCACGTAGCTAAACAAGCAATAAGTGATATTAGTAAATAAGTAACACTTCTTGATTAAACCTTTTTTTCCTTCCTGTCTGTCCTGATTCATTCTCTCCATTGTCTTTGCTGCATTGTATTCATTTTGTGTAAAGGTGATGAAAAAGCCCCAGTCAAACCACATATAAAAAAAAGAATAAATTAAAATAAACATGAAATGCTATTCTTGCTTCCTATCCGTTACTGATTGGACTCTACGTCTGATCCGAGATATAAAATACATCCCAGCCTTTGTATTTCTTGATTCACTTTCTAGTTAAATAGATAACTGTTTAAGCAGACAACAAAAAGCGAAAACTGTTTTTCTCCCTATGATCTGTTGCAAATACTGATGAGAAGGAGAAAGCTGGGACAATCCAACATTTCTTTCATTTGGCTCTATTACTCAGAGATGCTTTGGATTAGACAATCCACCATCTATCATCTGTCAATAGTCAAAACCATTTAAAGCTGATTAAATAGAGTACATTTTTCAGAATTTGCATCTCAATACAGATTTAGATGTTGCAGCTAATCCTGGACCTTTAAACCATACAGCATTCAGCTTGATCTCAAATAATGACAACAATACAACACAAAAAGGAGAGCTAAAAATACATTTCATACCCTGAATGTTTGTTCTGTCTATCCATCTTTAGGTACCAGTCATTAGATTATAAGATTGCACTGTGTGCATCTGTAAGGTTGCAAAGTAAAAGGAAATGTAAAATTCATGCAAAACCAATTTTAAGTCTTCATTTTAAACATAACTTTAAGGGTTAGAAGAAAATTGCTAAATGTGAAGTAATAGCCATTTTTCTCTCTATATACAGTCTTTCCAAAGGCTGAGAGGCATTTCATGCAATTTATATTATCTTCTGAAAGTTTAATTTATGGACCATAAGGCACCAGCTATGCATATCATTTCTTTACAGTTTGTATTCAGTATCAGACGTGGTGGTCCTTTCCTTCTCTTTATTGGAATTGTGAATATCCTTACCTCCATCACTGTTACACCACATGAACATCTCATAATTTCTTGTGTAATAATTCATGCAATTTAGTATAAAATATGTGTCTTTACAAAAGCCTTTTTTAAATAAACAAAAAGATGTGTAAAAATATTGCATGTGTTGAGGTCACAAGGTCAAGTCCGATTGGGTAGGCTCATCACCTACCCTATCGGATTCAACGGCTCTGTCTCAGAAAAAACATTACTGTTTTGTTCATGACGGAGAGAGCTGATGAGAGGAGTGCAAGAAAGACTGATTTAAGAAAGAGAAGGATAGAGGGATTTAGATTTTATGTTTTGACCTAAATATGCTATAAAATGTCATTTTTCTAATGTCACAGGCAAAGCCTTTTCTAAATGCACCATCCTTTTAGCTCAATAGCTCAATGACGATTAAGTTCACATAATTCTTCACATACACTCTGTTGGATGTGGCTTTATAAGACTAAATGCAGCATAAAATACACGAAATTATCTATTCTTTCATAGATATACAGTTTTTCTAATGTAGCTAAAATGTGGTGAGACTGTGGGCCTGAAAAACTAAGGAAACAATCACACTTCAGTTTTTAAAATTTTTTGATATTTTGTGTTATGTTTTTTTTCTTATGGCCGTTCATATCATTAATTGACTGTGACCATTATCAGACCTCCGTCTGAACTGTTCAGGAGATCAAAGCAACCTGAAAGCTCTGTCTATGGAAGTAATGTTGAATGTCACCATCTGTAGTGTTCAATGCAACTTAGTTGAAAAAAAGAAAAACTTTTGAGCAAAACATTGAGCCTCATCATTAACAAAGTAGGTTGTGTAGTGGTAGCCCTGGCAGTGATGTAAAAGACACCTACATTTTGGCATGACTTTCCATAATGGTGCAAATAAGATAATGAATATGCAGTTAGTGCGGGTGTTGTCAGGCATTTACCAAAATTTCGAGCACAACTGATAGTGGGTGTAAAAATGATGAAAACTCTTCTATTTAACCGACGGTTCTACATATTCTACTGGCTCTGACCATGGAGATTTTGGGAACGCAGGGAGGATTTGTTTTGCACATCCCAAATGCAGTTAGCCAGACTTTATAAAGTATACATTGCACATCAATCGGGTATAAATAAATACTGGTAGAGATCCATTTCCAAGGCAAGACTAACAGGATCAACCTTATCTGTCAGATTCAGAACAACAGGACCCAGTTTTCGAAGCGGAGAGACAGTTAGGTTTCACAATGTGTTTATTTACGATGGAATTGTAGAGAACAGTGTCTGCGTCTAAAGCAGGAACCTCTCCAGGTTAGTGACCATGTCTATATGGCGGAGGATGACAATGAATGTGTGAGTCACTAACCTGGTCTTAGAGTTCAGTCCCATGCCTGGAGTAAGAGGTATGTTCCTGCCAGTCAGCTGCCAAGAAGACGCGGTGGATGCTGCCCAGAGAGTCCCAGACACTGTAGTCCCGGAGGTCTGAGGACAGGCAGGAGATCAGAACTGAGCAACCAAAGGCAGGATAATCCAGAGTCTGGTTCACAGGCAGAATCCATCAAGAGTCCGAGAACAGGTCAGGCAAACAGATCAGAACAGGGACAGGAGGATCAGAGGTCCAGAGGCAGAACAGGTCAGGATCAAGCAATCAGAAACACGCAAGTACCCAAGAGAACTCTCACCAAAGGCTTGAATTATCTGGCACGTATAATTGATTGAGGGCTGGTTTAATAGAGGCTGAAGCAGGTGGATCAAATTAACAATAATGAGAACTGGGTGGAGCTCAGTAGTCATATACACCAATATCATGACATTATCAGGTTAGGACCATCAGATAACTACGGATGTAACAAAAAAACTTCATGCAACATGCTTTGCTTTTGTAAAGCAAAGCATGTTGTCCATGAAACAAGTAAAACCACTGAAAAAACTTTCCAGTGAGCGATTTCTGCCGGTTTTGCCTAAAAAATCAAAGAACATCCTGCACTATACCTTTAAGTCAGTGCAGAACAGACCTGACTTAGAGAAACTAGTGCATGTCTTTATTTAACACATCTTGATTATTTCAAAGCACTTCATTTAAGTAAGTTGTATCTCTTTTTCATCTTTTTTTTGCTTGTTTAGAATACTTAAGTTTGGCTTTTAACCAGAATTTCTTAGTGTTTACACATTTCCCTGGCTTTATCTTCTCTTCATTAGCTCCCTGTGAGTAACAGAATACATTTTCAAATTCTCCTGTTGACATAGGTGGATAAATGGAATTGTAAATCTATAGCTCTCTGGCCTACTACAGTCTCATTTTCCTTCTTGGGCTCTAATATTAAAAGATTAGCGGTTTCCTTTGTTTAAAAAATTATTATTAATAATAGTGATGATCAGACTTTTTCTGTGGTGGCGTGAAAACTTTGGAATATTCTCCCTGCGAATATTGGACAGGCTTCTTCAATTTCATTTTTTAATGTGTCTTCTTAAAACTTTTTTCATTTTATTTTTACTCAGTGTAAGCGTTTACTGATGTTGTTTTTATTTTTTAATTACTGTTGTTTTTATGTTTTTAAATGTGCATTATAAATATGTTTCACTTTACTGACTCTGTTTAATGTTTTTAATGTTTTTTTTTTATGTTTTAATTTTTTTTAATGTTTTTAATCTTTAAACTATGTGTAATAATGGGTGTTGAATGTCTCTTGCAGGGTGAGACGAAGGTCCTTAAACTGAAAAACCTAAGGCCCAAGGATTTTGATGACTACACTTGCCAGGTGTCTGTGCGCAATGTGTGCAACATTGAAGATAAGTCAGTTACCTTCAGGCTAACAAATGCTACCGGTAAGATTTTGTTGCTTATTCTGTCCTTTACAAAGACAAACACATCTTTGTAATCCACAGACACACAGACACACACACACACATATACACACACACACACACACACCCATGTTGTGTCACAATATCCTTGTGGGGACCTTCCATTGACTTCCATTCATTTCCCACAAATTTATATGGCCTAACCGTGACCCTTGCCCTAACCCTAACCATTACCGACACATACCTATCCCTAAACCTAACCTAAACTCAATTCACACCTAAGTCCTAAACCTAACCCCCACCCCAAGAAGAGAAACTTTCCCTATGGGGACCAGTTGTTGGTCCCCACAAGTACCTATGAGTCCCCAAAATGTAGCATATTCCTAGGAAATTGTCCCCACCAGGTATTAAAGACATGGCCACACATACACACACATTACACACATACACACACACACACATATATATATTCTTTGTCTATTTTCTTGTAAATGTGTTGCTTCCATATATCTTTTATTCTTTTAAGATTTTACAGCATTTTTTTTTCATCGTAGTTTTCTCTGTTACTTGCTGTAAATTGGCTCAGAAATCTGCTTTTAATTACTTTATCAATAAAGCCCATCCATTTCTCTCATCTTCTCACATTCCTGCTATGTATCAATCTCTTTACCTCCCTTTTTATTGGGGCAGCTGTTTTTCCTTCCTCTAACCGTCTCTATTTTCTTGTCTGTCTCCTTCCACGCAGCGTTGTCTTCCTGTCTAGTTTTTCTGTTGCTGAGAGCTCATCTCAGGGCCGTCAGCTGTAATTCAGTTGTCACGCTCCCTGTTATCTCCAATTCTCTTTGCACGTCTCTGTCCATCTACACGCCACCGCCCAGCAACTCTCTTACTTACAGCAACACTGTTGCCATTGACAGTCTTGTCAGGTTTATTACGGTCAGGCTGATGCACCGCAAGGGGAATCCTAGAGCTTTGTTTATTTTAAAAACATTTTAATTCCTCTTTGTATTTATCTTTTTTGTTTTGCTTTGCTTTACCGCTATTATCAAAACTTTGATGTGCTTTTTAAATAAACCTTTTATGTTATAAATTTAGTAAACTGACAATCCTAGTTCAGATGTTTGTCAAAGTTAGTTAGTCAAGCATTAATGGAGCCGAAACACTTGTTGTATGTTGTTCTCATGGTCAAAGTGGCTGAATAAGTGCAAACAAGCAGCACGAGGTAGGCAATCTTTGAATGATTGTTTTATTTGAGTTCATGCTGTGGGCAAAATATGCAACATTGCATGCTAAAGGTGCCTTCTTTAAATCTCCACCCTGGAACTGGAAAAAAATTAAACATTAATACTCCCTCTCAGCAAGAGTTGGACGATTTTGGTAATGGGCTTTTTTTCCTTAGATGAAAAGGTCTATCATGTTTTTTTTTCCCTCTCTTTTTTTCTGTAGAAGCAACTAACCTGTCTTGGCTTTGATCAAAGGCAATACAATCTGCCAACTAGGGCCTCTTTGACTTTAAAGTTTAAACACATATCTTATTTACTGCATCTATAGCAAAACCAATGGTTTTCAATTGCAAGTTATTCCAGTGACTTATTTGCTATTAATAATATATATTCTCCAACAATAAAACATATTATCAGAGTAGCTGATGTTAGCATGTATCTTCACCTGCTCTTCTAACAAGCATTAGCATGTTCGCCCATTTTCAACATCTGTGTTGGACTAAAGTGGGAGAAAATCAGACCGACTAAACACATCCCAATTTACAAAGACACATGGCTTTATCTGAGGTCATCTTCCTAAGGATCGCTCCTCTTTGTCCTCTTTCTGTCCTCTTCCATTAATGTGTCTTCTGCGGTGAGATTAAGCACCCAAGAGTCCAATACATGCCTTTGCATTTTTTTGGAATCATTAAGGTGTATTGCTTTTATTTTTTACCATTGGCTAAATGCCACTATGAAATAATTTCTGAATCACCTCATCTGGAAAGTTCCAACATGTATGCCTTGTATGCCTTTTGTTAACACGAACTTCAACAAATACTAACTAGTCAAAGTTTGAATCATTACTTCATACTCATATTACAAGCATATCACGGATCATTCTAAAATTATATCCCCCCTAAAATTATAACCGGTTTCAACCCAGGAACAATGCAGAAAAAAACTAGGTTTTCAGTGGGAAAGCAGCCATATATAACGTCATCTGCAAATAACATTTGGACGGCTTCTTTATTCATACAACAACAAAGATGCAGGTATTAATCAATGGTGTACTTTTGATGAATGTTCTTTATTTGAACAGAATGAACTATCATGTTGCTCAGGTTGATTATTAAAGCTTTTGGGGTGTGAATACTTCACACTTATTGTAGCCTTTGCTGACCAGTAGGATACTTTAATGCCTCTTATAAAATATTAACTTCCCCTTTTTCTCTCTCTTACTGACATGACACTGCTCTTCTTGTTTTGCTGCAGAAAGTCAGTTAGGCGTTAGATGTTAGTACTTTATTCTTTAATTATGAGGATTGTTTTTTTTAATGTTTTACAAGAAAACAAGGCTGAATTCACCTCATTTGACAACAGTGAAGCATGATTCCAAAGACAAATTAAGAAACAAGTCAAAAAAGCTGCTGTTTTATGGCTTAATTGAAGTGAAATACACAGAAGGGAACCAGAATTCAGAGGGAGAATAGGACAAATTTGATCAAAAATAACAATCACAAGAAAAGAAAATACAGACATATTCAATTTGACATAGCAACTAAAATATCAGAATCAGAGCTTGAAAATAACACTGAAATCAAAAGAAAAATAAATAGAAAGTAAAAAAAGTCAAAGTCAAACAACAGAAATATTCGGCCAAGGGGACAATAAATAACGTTTATCTTAAAAACAAAAAATGCTGAGATTAAAAAAAAAAACTAAATACAAAACAACTGACTTTCCTATCTACCTATCTACCTATCTACCTATCTATCTATATATATATATATATATATACACTTATCTGTTTGTCATTGCAGCATTACTCTCTGTTTAGATCAGATTAATCCAGTAATGTCATATCATCATCTTTGATAGATCACAATGGGAGAAAGAGATTAATTTGTCTGTTTTATTTTTCATTATAATCCTGTCCAGGGACTTTTACACTGGGCTACCATTAAATCCCATTCAGTGACAAAATCCTCTTTTTGCCTCTTAAAATGAAATTGTATTTGTTGAGGAGTGCTGTAGTTCTGTCACCATAGTTAGAGAGACAAAATATACAAGCATATATTTAAGACGGTTTAAGTAACTATACCAGACATTTCAGCTCTGAGATTCAGCTTTGAGATGTTTCAAACTACATAAGACTATATCTAAAAAAAAGAGCTCCAATGAAGAAACATTAGCGACCTGAGATCCAGGTGTTGGAGAGATAAAATAGGGCTGGTCTGTTTAATTAAATCCAATTGAGCTTCAATGTAGCTCAAATGTCTGAAGAAGTGAATTCCTTTCTGATAGAGTAAAGTCACAATACACAATGTGTTGTGGTTTACTGCCTATGGGACTGTATTGCCAAGAAAGCAGAAAAGTCACTCATGTTCAATGTAATCCCCCAAAAAATGGATATTTGAGGTTTAGAACTGGGCAAATATGTGATGCAAAATGATGGCCTGGACTAATAAATTATGCGCCGTTTTTTAATACGTGTACTTGTGCTCTCTCATGTGCTCGTGTGAAACATCATCAACCTCAGCCCTAGCACTGTTCCAATTCACAAGGACAGAAGACTGAGAATGGACAAAGTCCCCGGATGTTGTTCTGGCCCCCCCCCTATACTGAGCATGCATCAGAGCAGACTTGTCCGTTCTCGCGATTGACTGCCATCCCAGCATGCACTGCGGCAGTAGCAACTTTCAATGGAGCACTCACTGAGCTCAGAATATTTAGTTAAAAGTTCTCTTTTCTATTGCTTATTCTATAAAAGTATGTTTTAGGATCATTTCAGTCGAGAACATTATATCTTTAAGCTTCACTATATGGCCCATTTACTGATTTAGTGCGTAATTAAAAAATAAATCCGATGTTGAGAGGACCATGGCAACCAGCGGAGCTCCGAGGCTAACCAGGCTAACGTTTGCCTGTCTGCAGCGGCCCTCTCTCGGCATAGCCGTGTGTGAAAGACTGCTGGCTCTGATGGCGATTTTTTTTGTTTTATTTGGCAAAATGTTAATTTGCTTTGTGCTTATCTGACTGTGTTAATTATTACTCCCCCACTAAATGAAAAAAGTAAGAATTTATTATTATCTAATGACTATTAATAACGGGAGGTGAAATGCAGCTCCAGACAAGCCGAGCGTGTGGTGACGTCACAAGTACATGTATGCTTCTGTTCCGATTGACCAGGATTTATGTTGCGTGCTCCGGTTCTCCCCAAGTCCATACTTTCCTGTGTTCTTGTCACAAAACATACTTCGGGGAACACAAGTCCTTTCTCTCGTTCTTGTGAATTGAGAAACAGTCAATGTGTCTTCAGATGATGTGAATGGCCAGGTAAAAGTGCACTATTTGAGAGATTTAAGAAACACATCACACTAGGATTTACAGCTGGAAGACAGCAGACAGTACAATGCCTTTTGGGTGTGTTGTGGAATAAATGTCTTGATCACTCATGCCTGTTTTTGCAATAAGATGGACCGAAACCCTCTCAGGAAGGCAGTTATATTTTGAATCATCTTAGTATCTTTTTTGTATTCAGTTTTTGGTTTTATACTTTAATAAAAGCATATGTGTGACTAATAATCTCACAATAAGTATTTTAAAAGACAAAAGGCATTCAATTAATAAAGCTGCATCCAGTGAAATTATAATAATAGCTCTGTGTTTATGAAGGTACTTAAAACGAGTGCCAGAAGTGTTTTATCCAAATACCACCTCTGTTTGTCAGTATTCATTCTGGTTGTGCTTTGAATTAGATAATTTGTCCATAGTGAGTGTGGCTACTGAAGGTCAATTTAAGAGGAGAAAACAGAC